CGATAATTGCAACACTGAATGCCTCCCATGGAATTTTTCTACAAATTACTTGATGACAATGTAAATGCAGTGTAAATTGAAAAAAAGAAGGATCTCTTTGCCATTTAGAATTATCGGGACTCGACTATATTAATAATCAATTGCTATGATAAATATCGATAGCTACTATTAAATTCCAAAAATTTGCTAGATCCCAAAAATTTACACATTTCCTTTTCCTAGCTTACATTTTTGATTAATATGTACAGTCATTTTAGCTATTGACAATATAAGTTACTTGATCTATATTACATATATAAAATGCATCGAAAAAAATGTAAATATTTAACTGGTATGAAAAGTATTGATAGATATCGATAACTGTAGACTAGACCCATTCAATTTATTTAGGAATATCTATTTGATATATATTCAATCTAAATCCATAGATATCGATAGACAGTGCTTGCTGCCTCAGTCACTCTTTAAAATTGCCTCTAATTTCTAGTTTGCATGTTGGAGTAGGTAACAGTGATTATATTTGATTTGCTGCCCGCCAATCGATATACCACTGGCAACTTAAATCACAATATATATAATCACAGGCGGGATATATGAGAGTGGAGGCTTTCGACTCGCCGCATTCGGTTCAGTGGGAATTGCACAAAATGGCTGACCAGAGTTGTGGGATACTTTGACATTTTGGCGCATGTTGAATGAAGTGAAAACCCAATTACATGTGCACCCCATCTGGATGGCTCGCTGGCCCAGCAGGGCCCAACGTGCGTCGCCAACATTTACCTTCGCCTACAGCTGTTTAAAATGCTTCCGATTATTACAGTTGCAGTTATCCGGGTGTGCGTGTGTGTGTGTGTGTGAGCTGTAACCAAACGAGAGTATCTAACGACAGTCAGCAATTGCTAATGTGTGTATGTGTGTGTGTGTGTCAGTGTGTGGGTATTAAAGGTGAGTGAGTATTATGGCCAAGGAGAGGGTGGAGTGGGTGGAGAGGGGGGCCAAAAGGGTTGTTCGCGCGTTGGGCGTTGTTTGATGTGCACGCAAATTATTACTTAAGCGGCTTAAACTTGTTGAAGCGCTGCCAGTGTGGGTTATTCGCTGCGGTTTTGCTTAAATTAGGTTTGAGTCGAGTTTGGTCCGCCTTGTGGGTGCGAAACGATAAAGACATCACATTCGAGCCACACACAACACACACACACACATGCACATCCATAAAGGTGCGTATTCGGTTGATGAGAATACGTGTAAACTGAATTTGTAAACGTGCGCACATTTTCTTATCTCCGCGCTGGCAAGTATGCATATAAGTTGTCATTAATGGCTGAACTTTAGCTCCAAGTTAATGCAGCTATGGGTGTGAGGTAAGCTCGGGAGTATTCGAAACGGGCAGCACTGACTGCCTCAATAAGAGATATAATGAGCTAAGAGGGGCACAGAAATGTGGCTACGTATCGATAGACTTATAGCTAGTCATCGATAGTTGATCATAGTGCCATCGCTAAGCAAACGAGAATGGCATTAGCAGAGGAGAAGAGTGAGAGGCAAACCGAGAGGCAAGCCGCCTAGCTGGCTGCACATTAAGAGAAAATACTAAAATAAATCCACCCACAGCCGTATCATAGATATTAATCATATTATTATGCCAGCTCCAGTTCAGAAACAATCGCATGCAAACACAATTAGCGAATGTCACATTGTGTGTTGGTTTCTTGGGTTTGGCCACAAGCGCAGATTGCGTATACGCAGCGTGGGCCGCCCACAGGCCCAAGTTGGGTGTGAAGCAATTTGCATGAGGCGCCAATCGGAGCATAAAAGGGAATATGAATCGTGCACTGGAGTATGTGATTTTAATGACGTGCCGAATTCCTCGAATGAATCGAGTTGGCTCTGCCTTGCCGAAGCACAGCACAAAGTAGTCTATATCGGATCTATAAACATACATATATACATATATATTTATATATATGTGTGTTACATATTCTGTGTGATGTTTTGTGTGTAGAAATTCGTGTTTTTGGTCGCTTTCGAAAATGCCCACTGAGCAGACGCCCAATTTGTGCGGCCAGCAGCTGAGCGGCTGGATGCGCCATCGGGTGAGCCGCGACGACACTGTGGCCCGCCTGGCCCTCAAGTACGGCACGACAATCGGTCGCATCTTACGGGCCAATCGCATGTATTGGCCGGACATCCTGCAGACGCGCTGCTACATCTGGGTGCCGGCAGTGGGCAAACCGTGTGACCCAGCGAAGGACGACAGGACACAGCCGCTTAGAGAGGCCAGGGCACTGGCCATGGGCTTAGTAACCCGGCACACCTACGGCAGCCTGACTACGATACCGCCCCACTTCTATCGCCAGAGTACGCCCAATGTGGACGACTTTGCCGACGACTGCGATCCGCTGCTGATCACCATGCGCTGGATGTGATGCGTGCACAATCGGGCGACTGCATCTTGGGAGGCGACACAATTTAATTAGCGACCACAACTGCAGCTGCTCCTTGCTGCACAGCATCCTGTCTGGGTCACCTCTGCCGCTGCTGCTGCTGCTGCTGCTGCTGCCAGTCAACGAGCTAGCAAAAGCGCACGGCACACGGCGCCTTATCAGCCAAGCGAAATTGTGGGCGGAATTTCAATTATCGTTACATTATGCTCTCAGCTCGGCGTCTCCTCGAATACGACGTGAGCTTTGGCGGGCCAGCGAAGACTCCAGAGCTCATGTGATGGCACAGACTCTAGCAGTGGAGCATATACTCTTCGGAACATCGAAATTGCTTGTTTAATTTAGGGAAATATATGTTATTGTGTTGTGTGAAAGCTTAATTGGAGTCTTACTCGTATAGAGGGCATGAGTATTGGTTGGTTCTTTAGGAATGTGTGGAGAGTGCGATTGAATGATCTGGGCAACTGAGTTGCAGAAATGAAATGAGCTGATGCAGACATACGTCTCTTTCTCTTTTCCCAGAAGAAGACAATGAGTCTAATTTGTAACTGAAACTAGTCCGGCATAATACTAGGTAGGCATCACAATAAATAAATATGAA